GTACTTCTCCCTGACAGCAGCCCGCGGCGGAACTCCTCTAAGGCCCCTTTTGGGGCCCTCCTGGGCCGGGGCCGTCCTGGGGCCCTCCTGGGCCCTCTTGGGGCTTCATCGGGCCGTCTTGGGGCCCTTTTGGGGGCCTCATGGGCCGTCTTGGGACGATCTTGGTGGCTCATCGGGCCGTAGTGGGCGCTGTGAAGACTACAAAGGCATGCGTGCCGAACATGTTTGCTTTCTACAGGACTGGGGCGTTTCTTGCTTCTTGGAGCCCTCGCGGCGGCCCTCACCCCTCGCAGGCCGACTTGAAGGCACTAGGGGCCGTGGTGGGGTCCCCCTGGGGCGTCTCGACGCCCTCTTGGCTTGCCCCTGCGCTCGTTGGGCCGCCTCGGGGCTCCTGAGCGCCCCGGGGTGTTTTTGATAATTTGGCGATTGCGAGCTCGTGCCTCGCCACCCCACCCCTCTCGGACGACGCTGAAGAGAGCAGGAGGAGGGGGAGGAGTATGAGGAGGAGTAGAGGAGGAGGAGGAGGAAGAGGAGGAGGATGGGGGTGAGAGGAGGCGGAGGAGGAGGAGAGGAGAGGAGGAGGAGGAGGAGGAGAGGAGGCGGAGGAGGAGGAGGAGGACGGAGCGAGGACGACATGCTGACGAGGGGGAGGAGGAGGAGGAGGCGGATGCGGAGGAGGAGGACGAGGAGGAGGACAGAGGACGACAGGAGGGGGAGGAGGAGGGGGAGGAGAGGCGGGGGAGAGGAGGAGTGGAGGATAGGAGGGGGATGGATGAGGACGAGGAGGGGAGGGGGTAGGAGGGAGGGGCCCCCCCACCAGGGTCACTCTGCCTCCCCCAGGGCCGCTGGCCGTCTCCTCTCCCTCCCTTGCGACCTCTCGGCCCTCGGGGGCGGAGCGGCCGCGGGGCGACGGAGCGTCCGCGGAGGTGCCCCCTTCCGAGCCCGAGCCGCTCCCCGCCACCGCGCCCGCTCCGCCGCAGCCGCCGAGCGGGGCCGGCCCGCGAGGGCAGGCCCCCGCGCGCTCCGTACTCGACTAGACGTAAGAGTGACCTTTCGCCGGAGTGACCTTTGGTGCGGGCACAAATGAGTCCCCAGATGGCTGAAAACGAAGCAGTTGCAGCTGATTGCGCGCCCAGGTTTGGCCCGCCGCGGCCCTCGGGGGCGGAGCGGCCGCGGGGCGACGGAGCGTCCGCGGAGGTGCCCCCTTCCGAGCCCGAGCCGCTCCCCGCCACCGCGCCCGCTCCGCCGCAGCCGCCGAGCGGGGCCGGCCCGCGAGGGCAGGCCCCCGCGCGCTCCGTACTCGACTAGACGTAAGAGTGACCTTTCGCCGGAGTGACCTTTGGTGCGGGCACAAATGAGTCCCCAGATGGCTGAAAACGAAGCAGTTGCAGCTGATTGCGCGCCCAGGTTTGGCCCGCCGCGGCCCTCAAAAAGCCGCGCACCAAAGGTCACTCTTACCCAGGGTCACTCTTGCGTATAGCCAACGTACGCTCGAATCGGGGGCGGAAAAGAGGGGGGTGCTGACTAGGGGGGGGTGGATATCATGGCGGGGGCCATGATCTTTCTCCAGATTTCATGGCGCCTCTTCTCATTTCATCACGTCCCTGGCCCCCCCGCTGGGCCGCGCACATGCTGCCGGTCATGATTTGCACCCCCCCTCTTGGACACCCCCCTCTTGGCCGCTCCCGATCGAAGCGGGTAATTACGGACCCACCGTGCCTCCTCGTCATCTTCAGCAGGGCGGCTCGCCGTCGGTGTCGCCGCGGACGGTGTTGTCCAGGCGAGGCGGACGGCCGCCCGCCCAGCAGCGGCCGCTGTCGGTGTTGGGCGACACCTGTCGCTTGGGCGTCGGGCCATGTTTTTTTCTGTACCCCTGTCGGGCGTTCAAGGAAAGGGGGATGGGGGACAGCCAAGCATCTCACACGCCTTCTCACCTCTGGCAAGCGGGGGTCGGCGGCTTTCGTGGCATGATCTCGTGTACGTATCTTACCATGCTGCCATCTCCGATATGTCTTCCTGCCTCGCCTTACATCCGCTCTTCTCCATCTCTCAGTCTGCACCACATTGAGGGCTTGGCGCAGAGGCTTTTGACGGTGGCTCCACGATAGAGCACCACCTTGGCCCAATGTCCGATCCTCCAGTCCACTTTGTATGAGCGACTGAGGATAGCTTGCGACAGCGTGTGCCGACCAGAGAGTTGAGTCCGAGCGGCGCGCGGGGGACACGGGGAGCCCTTGTGTGGAGGAATGGTAACGCTAGCGGGGCTGGGGGAACCAGGGGTAATGCTACAGGAGGATAGGCTCAAGGGGGGGATGCATCGACCCCCAATCACCCACTCGTCGCCGAGAAGGGGCCCGATAGGTTACCCCGCCCAGGAAAGTGCGGATTTATCGAGAGCCCATCGCCGATCTATCGGCGATGTCTCGTCCATTGAAGGTCGATCCCCCCCCCCTGAGCCAGTTCTCCCCAGGTCTGGGCCCAAACGTTGATCCGCTGGATTTGGGGCTCCGTCTTGTTTTTTCGTTTCGGCGGAGAGGCACACGGGGAACAGGCAGAACGGAGAAGGAGGAACAAGGAAGAGGAGGAGGACGAGGAGGAGGAGGAGGAACAAGGAAGA